ATAAAATTTAACTGCGAAACCACGAGGATCTCTGAAGAACAAAATAAAGAATTATTAAGAAATGAATGATTCTATTAGAATGAGTTTTTCGAGAAAATTGATTTATTCTTTTAATTATTGAAATAATTATGAAATAGTGAATTGAATCATTTAATTGAAATGAAATTAGAAAAATAACTATATATAAATAGCGCAAAATCATGTAATTGATATAAATTTTATAATTTTATAGTATTGAAAGAAAAAATTTTTCTATGGCGACCAATTATTACTACTAATTGATCAATTAATTGCAAGGCCAATGTTCAAGTTTCTCGTCCAATTTCGTATAATACTAAGTGATAATTTCTATGCAAACAAAACAATTTTTAGCTTTGTTTCCATTATTTTCACAGTAAATGCAGTAAATTATGCTGTGAAGCTCGAGTTTTTATCTTGAAAGTAATTATTAGTGAATAATAATAAATAACAGATTAGTATTATTTAAATATTATTTTTAAATATAACTCTATTATAAAAATTAATTCAGCAACAAATATAAATTTATAAAAGAAAATTACACATAATAAAATAAAAATAGTTTTAATAATAAATATAACTCTATTATAAAAATTAATTCAGCAACAAATATAAATTTATAAAAGAAAATTACACATAATAAAATAAAAATAGTTTTAATATTTAATTTTAAATAATTATAAAATAAAATAAATATATTTAGATTATAATTAATTTCATACATATAATATAAAATCAATAAAAATAACAAATATAATAAAAAAATATTATTAAATATTCAAATGTATTTAAATCCAAATTTTTTGGAGAAGCTAAATAATATAAATTTCTTTGATAATAGTGATATTAAATTATATTTGGATCAAATCATTCTATTTCTAAAAATTTATTTCTGTAAATGAGATAATAAGTATACATCTTCATCATTGCTGTCACTGCTTTATTTAAATTTTATATAGAAGAAAATAAACATTTTTCATCGCGTGACGATGCATGTGATATTTTAGAGAATCAATAATATCCTATAAAAAAATGAAAATTTATATTTGCAATTACCTGCCAGTATCTGCAGAACCACTTTCACTACTCACAATGGAAAACCTTACGGCAATAGGAGTTCGTTTTCCAATTGAGGAAAAAACTTTTGCTTTAGAGTATTTCGTAATGTCATGGGTAACTTCGAAATAACCAAATGCACCTGAAATGAAAAAATATTAGAATTTCGAATGGAATAATTTTAATATAAAATATGATCGATTATAGATTAAAATTCCTATTGTTTGTATTGGATAGACAATATTAGTAAATTTAATTAATCAGATATTTATTTAATTAAAATCCAAATATTCGAATATTTTCGAATATTCAGATATCTATTTAATTTAGATTTTAATTTATTAGTATGTAGAATCTGGTTAATATTATAAATAATTTATAGTAAATATAAAGCCAGATTAATGAAAATATATTAATATATTTAATTCAATTTAATCTGTTTAATCTGAATTTAATCTGAATTTATTATATTAAAAAAACTTCATATTTGAGTAATTGTAATTATCGAAAAAAATTTCAAATATTTTGATTACTCTGCCAATTATTGATAAATTTTGATTTAAGTGATCATTTTTTATTTTCGATATTTATTTTTTTGAAATATATTAAATTTTATATCAATGTATTATATTTTATCATAAAACAAATTGAAAAATTGAAAAATGTTACGTATTATTAATATTTATACATATATAAATTATAAATTTAAAATTTAATGATAAATATGTTTTATAAATACTTCACAATTTATTTAAAAATAAAATAAATCAATCTACCAGCTCCCTTAGCGTGGACTACACGTTCCGGAATCCTTTCTCTATTAAAATGCGATAGTTCATCTAAAAAGACAAAATCTTGAAGCAATATGGGACCATTTGGTCCTACTGTCAAACTGGCTTTCTTCGAAACTGGTGTTCCACTTGAAGTAAGAAATATTGGACAATCAGGCTGACAAAAAAAAACATATACATATACTATTAGTTAAAAAAGAATTATTTTTATATAATCTTCTTATATTCATATAAAACATTGTTTAATTATTAAAAGAAAAATTAAAATAATTATTAAAAGAAAAATAAATTATGAAAAAATGTATATATATTTTTATTAATATCCATATTCTTTTAGCATTTAGGGATGCATTTATAAAAAATATTTTTCATACAATATTTATTAGAACCTATATATCCATATAACAAGGATAAAATTAAGCATATATAAAAAACATAATTTTATAATTCATATTAAAATAGATTTTTTATCATTTTTTTCTGCGATATAACATCAATATTTAATTATTAAAATATGCTTTTTGTCATTAACTTTTTTGCACAAAATAGAAAATGTATGATAGCAATCAATAAAATATATATTCAACATTATTCATGTTTTAAATCAATACAAATCGTGTTGAAGTTATTGAAATAATATTTTTTATATAATTTATTGATATTGTTTAAAAAATATATTAATAAAAATAACTAAATAATTAAATAGATAATAATAAATAATAATATAATAATAATAAATAATAAATATTAAATAATTAAAATAATAATTAAAAAAAATAATTATTATTAATTCAATAAACGAATATATATATATATGAATATTTTTGTAAGAAATATGTAAAATATTTATTATACATACATACATACGACTTTTTTATCGTGAAAAATATAATCAAATTATTTAAATATTGCTTGAATTTTGCTTATTACACTTATTACACTCATTTTCAAAATGTTATTATTAATAGGTACATATTATTTAATAGATACATATATGTCATAGTTTTTACTTATCAAAAACATTCTCAAGGTCATTGATGATAGTTATATTTTACAGTTCATTATATGCAATTTTTTGCAATTCACTACAAAATTAAAAAATTAACTTATGCACATATTTTAGATTTTTACCAATATTTTACATATTTTACATTTTTAGTGTAGGATGCACGTGATGTATAAAAATGTATACAATTTATTCAAAATGAAGTACTCATTATGGTATTTAATGAATAAAATAAATCTTTCTAAGTTTCCATTTGTAATTTTTTTATATTCGCCAACAGAGAATTCATATTTTAAGAAAGTCTATGAAAATTCTGATTTCGCTTGATTTTTTACATAAAATACTTGGATTAATTTTGTCTAATGAAACGCTCTCTATTTTTGTTTTTTTTTCTCTTTCTCTAATTTTATTATATCGTTTTATAAAAATATGAGTTTATAAAAAATGAATCAGTAAATCAATTTAGAAAAATGAATAAATCAATCCGTTAATTTCTACCAAAAACAGGAAGTTTCATTTGATATGTATCTTTTCTGGAAAATACTCTACCAGACATTTTCAACTCATTTTAAATAGAAAGGATAAATACGTTAATGGACGTTGAAAATGATAATCATTGATCGCGGAATTTTTCTGCAAGCATTAACACGAAGCAATTAAAAATGATATTATCATAAAGATATTTTCAAACGATATAAACTGTATCACATTTTCTTTTTGTAGATAGTCTATTATCAAACTAAAATTGTTCATTTGGTAAATTACTTTTATCTATAACATATATTTTCAATAACAATGAACTATTATTATCAAAAGTTATTTTATTATGCTATAGATTGTTATGTATGTTGACTGTTAAAAAATTTTTATTTTTAAAAATA